CTGATGCCTCTTCCTACTCTCTACCAACCCAATTTAAGTTTCTCATATTCATAAAAAACTTCCTTTCTACATAATTTCCTACTGAAGGTTGGTCCAGAAATCTGTCCTTCTCATCTCATTTTCTCAGTTTACTTTTGCTGCCCGTTTTCTCACCATCCATTTGTTCCTTTAGCCTCTTGAAATCTGGCTTTTATCTTTTCTGCTCTACTATAATCACTTTTTTACCTGTGACCTCCTAATTGCCAAATCCAAAACCCTCACATTACTTCATATTTCTCTAACACTGTTTTTCACTGGCTTTCAACACACTCTCATCTCATGCTTCACAGAACTATCACATTCCTAATCTGCCTCCTACCTAACTGCTTGGCCTCAGTCTCCTTAGCAGTGTCTCTTCCTCCCTACTTTGAAATAGATGTATGTGGTTCAAGAATTTTGTAACTCTATATTTTCTGTGGGTAATTCCACGCATTCTAATGGCTTTAATTAACATAATGTAGCTTTATCATGATTAATAAGGCACCCCATGTGGTGTAAACCATTTGCGCTTGGCTACTAACCAAAAGGTTGGTGGTTCAAATCCACCCAGCAGTGCTGTGGAAGGCAGGCCTAGTGATCTTAAGATTACTGTCATTTCCTGAAAACCCTATGGAGCAAATTTCTACTCTGATACACATGGGTTTACCATGACTCAGAATCGACTCGATGGCAAGGGATAGTTTTTGGTATCGTGACTAATTGTACTATTTTGAACCTCAATTATAGTGCAATTACACTTAAAATTCAAAATCTTGCAGACACATCCTGAACCTATGGAAAGATGTATCCCATCACCAACCAAAAACCAAACCATTGCCATCGAGTCGATTCCAACTCCTAGCAACCCTACAGGACAGAGAAGAACTGCCCCAGAGCATTTCCAAGAAGCAACCGGTGGGTTCAAACTAATGACTTTAACCACTGTGCCACTATAGCTCCATCTCATGGGACATTAGTCACTAAAGATGATAATAGGGTAGAAGTTTGAGAAAGCTGAACGCTCAGTCTCTCTCGGAGACGTAAAATGTACTGTAACATAGCCAAGACTCTAAAAAGCCCTGGAAGATTGCAGAAAAGTACGATAATCAGAGTTTTTGTGGGTTGTTTCATTTTAAAAGATTAAAATTTTTATTTTACTCTTAAAATAGTAACTCATTTAAAAGCAATAAATTCACGGTATGTTAATATAACTATGTTTTCCAAAACATTACTGGGAAGAGAGGTCTAGGTGACAATTACAGTGGTCTTTGTCTCCACAGTCTTATCTAATAAAACCAAGAGGACTTGAGGTTCCCTTCTGTTTTACAACTTTTACTCAAAGAACTTAAAACATGTTCCTCAGGGATAGGATGAGAAGGCACATGACTATAATTTTAAAAAGCAAAACAAAACACTCTAGTTGTATATATACTGTATGGACATAGAAAGTTACGTTGCTAAGGGAAAAATAAAAAACCAAACATGTAGACAAAAAAAAAAAAAATTACTAAGAAGAGTGGCACTGTTCTACATATTTGAAAATCTCTTTCATGTCTGGCTTAATAGAAGACAGCTAAATTTTCCTATCTGGTTCTACATTCAATTGGTTTCAATACACGTAACCTGGAAAAAGAGGAAAAAGGCGAACAATGTCTTAGATTTATTATGAAAATAGTTTTGACCACACCGATCCAAATGGGCCTGAGAGAACCAAGAAGTCCCCAGACCACACTTCGGGAACCTCTGCATTAAGTGGATACAGTCATGCCAAAAGCCATACCATACCACTCCTATAGTTATCAGTTAAGTGAGTCATAAATACTTGTTTTGGGTTTGCTGGAATTGGGTTTCTGCTACTTGTAACTGAAAGAGTTCTGAGCAATACACTAAATAACCCTTTGTGATTCTTTCTGGTTTAGGATAAAGTTTAAGGAAGTTTACTGCTGTCTCACAGATGAAACTTCCTGTCTTGTCCCTGTCGTTTTTTCTACTGCTTCCCTTCTTCCCTCTACCTCTTCCTGTTTTATTAATCAAAGTCTTCTCTTTGTGTACTTACGAGATTTTGATAACTAGAAATGTCACTTTCAGTCACTTGCGTTCTAGTTAGCAACTATTCCTAACTGCATGCATAACTATTACACAGAATCTACAGACTCCCTTTCAACCAACTGACCATTTTGCTTTGTTTTCTGAGAATTTAATTGAAAAAATAAAAATATACACTATTAAGAAAAGGAGAATGATTCCTAAAAATTAGTGTTCATCTCTTAAAACCAGAGACACACTGCAGAACTGCTAGGGTGATATTAGATTTGGGAATGGTTTTTGTTATATGTCAACCACAGTTACTTTTAGATGGGACATCTCCAAAACGAAACTCATCAGGAGAAAAAAAAATCCTCTGCAGAAGCATAACATAAATATCAATGTCTTTTAAGAACTAACAGCTTTATTCTCCAAATTCACTTCCCACAATTACTTGCATCAAATCAACCATAAACCCACTCCTGGGAATACATCCTAGAGAAATAAAGGCTGTTGCACAAATAGACATATGCACACCCATGTTCACTGCAGCATTATTCACAATAGCTAAAAAGATGGAAACAACCTGAATGCGCATCAACAGATGAATGGATAAACAAATTATGGTACATACACACAATGGAATACTATGCAACAATAAAGAACAATGATGAATCCACAAAACATCTCACAGCACGGATGAATTATGCTAAGTGAAATCAGTCAATCACAAAAGGACAAATATTGTATGAGACTGAAGCCACTCCGTAAGTCCACCTTTCAGCCATAGACAGGCCTATAAAACAATAACATACACAAAGAATATGCTTCTTAAGTGCAATCAAATATACGAGGCCTAATGGGCATTACCTGCACAAAAGCAAAGATGAGAAAGCAAGAAGGGACAAGAAAACTGGAGGAATGGCCAAGAGGAATCAAGGGTGGAAAGAGAGGGGGAGAGTGCTGACACATTGCAGATATTGTAACCAATGTCACAAAACAAATTTTTCAATGAGAAACTAATCTGCACTGTAAACTTTCACCTAAAGCACAATAAAATTAAAATAAATAAGTCAACTATAAAAAATAAATAATATAAGTATAATCAGGTAAAGGAGTATACTGATATTAGCAAAGAGAAATGTGATCTGCTGAAGGGCAAAGTTAGTTACTATCTTGTCCCCCTACCCCCACCAAAAAAACATTAAGGCAAGATGAAATGCATTTACTGAAAAAAGTCACCATAAGGCTGTGCATCTCAAACTGAAGTGTGATTACTCCTAAAGTTCTGTGTTACAGAGTACACAAATGACACCAGATAAACACTGCATTTCTCTAATGTGTCTGTTTTACTCAAAAGTTCTGAAGGAGGAAAAAAAGGATATTAAAGCAAATACTGACCTATTGGAGGAATATATATACACACACACACACGCATATCATACATACACCTTCAAAGACAAAGAATACCTCTAGAATATACAGAAAATTGCTAACATTGCTTATAAAAAGGGATTTCAGACTTTCAAATGACTGCTTCAGGCAATGTCCCCAGAGATCCACGTTCACTCTCCTTTGCAGTTAAGGCTGAGAAAGCTTGCGATGCACTGCCATAAGGAATTCTCAAATAAATGTGGCATTAAGACTGTCTCTACAAAAATAAAGAAGCCCTCGTGGAGCAGTGGTTAAAGTGCTAACCGAAAGGTATGCAGTTCAAACCCAAGAGCGCTCTGCAGGAGAAAGAGGCAACAATCTGCTTACTAAAGGTTACCCACTGTGGTCAAGTGGATTCTAACTCATAGCGACCTTATAGGACAACTGTCCCACAGGGTTTCCAAGGCCATAACCTGTGCAGAAGCAGACTGCCACCTCTTTCTCCTGCAAAGAGGCTGGGGTGGGTTCAAAGCACTGAGCTCTGGTTAGCAGTGGAGTGTTTAACCACTGCGCCACCGGAGCTGTTCTCCCTAAAGATCACAGCCTTGGAAACCCTACAGGGTAGTGCTACTCTTCCTACAGGGTCCCTACGAATCTGAATTGACTTGACGGCAAGGGGTTTGGTTTGGGTTTCTACAAAAATAAATGGTACAACAGGAAATGAAAAAATGAAACAAAATAATTGATCATTGGCGTTAGTGTACTAAACTGTAAGCTTATTAAAGGTAACGTCCTTGTCACCGCCTCTTATGTAAAAGACAACACAAGGACTTGGGGTACCCTTGATGGATGGGATGCTTCACAAAAACTTGTTGGCTGGGAGGAGCTCAGCCTCATTAATTGTAACTCCACTTATGTTTTCAAGACATAGAACCCCAAACCGAAGATGGTCACTTAAACCTAATGCAATTTCAAAAAGAAAAACATACTGAGAATAAAAGCACAACGGAAGCACGGCTTCAAACCCTCTGTTCGGGTTTTAATCACTTTTGGAAAAAGCTGGAGAAGGCTTCTGTTCCAGAAGAACGAGACACATTTCAGTATTTACCTAAGGAATGAAATATCAATTAGTAAGCCCCACCTTTCCTTCTGTGCAGCCCTTCCACCCATCGAGTCGGGATGGGTTGGGGGAATCAAGAATCAAAGAAATAGAGAAAAGTGGAATGGAAGATAAGCTGGTGCATTGGTGGAATTACGAGGAAGGCGTGGCAGGAGAGCGGCAGGCCAACCGGAAAGATTCGTGGGCCGAGGAGACTCAAGGAGGGTGTTCGCGGGAGGAGAGAAAAAATGAAACGACTGTTGAGGTGAAGAGTCGCCGAAGCTTCGATGACAGCTCGGACTAGGTCTGCGACTCCGGGGGCGGAGGCGACCCAGGAGTCTTCCATTGTGCGCGCCCCCTCTTCTCCCTCCCCGCCCCGCCCTCGCCCTCGCGGCTCCGGGCCGCAGCGCCTGCCGCCGCCCCTGCTTCCCATTTGCCCAGTGTAAGGGACAATACGCTCAACCCTCCTCCGACCCTTTCTCACCTGATGAGGCTCGACGTCGCCCAGGCTTCCTCTTGTCCATCTTCTCCCCGTCCTGCAGGAGTCGTAGTTGCAGTCGCTGTCACCTCAAGACCCCTCAGGCTGGGGATGGGGGGAGGGGAGAGGAAAAGGCAGGAAAGTGCGAACCGCGCTTGCGCAAGAGCCATCGCCGGCCCACCGACCGGAAATCAACCACGCCTCCCATCTCCATCCGGAAGTCACTTCCTGGGACCTGTTTTATTTGGCAGCTGCTGCTTCAGGTGCTTGTTTAGTGGCGCTCTTCGTCTCTGCGAGTGTAAAAAGCGATGCTGAGTGCGAGATTTTAACCTCGGGTCTAAAAGACTTTACACTGAGTTGACAAAAAATTAAAAAGGGAAACTTTAAAACTTCCTCCAGCTCACAGGATATCGCGAGGTATTCCCCCCCACCTTTAAAAAGCCAAACCAAACCCGTTGCCGTCGAGTTGATTCGGGCCTATAGCGACCCTATAGAAAAGAGTAGAACTGCTCCCGTAGGGTTTCCAAGGAGCAGCTGGTGGATTCGAACTACCAAGCTTTTGGTTAGCAGCTGAGCTCTTATCCACTGTACCAGAAATGACTAAAACCGTTAATCCTTTTTCAGTGTTACTTTGTTCAAGATCTCTCCTATATATTTGTCCTTAATGCGTTTCCTCAAACTCAAAAAAAAAAAGAGATGGCAAAGTCACGTTAACAATAGCCTTGCTATTGAAATACTAGTTAGAGTGGAAATAGGTCATCTGACGAAGAAAAAATGCCACGGTGAAGATAACTAGTCCTCTATATTTTAAAGCATGAAATGCTGAGATGATGATAGACAGTGGGTGGCTGTAAACTGGGATTCGTTCAACTCAGGGAATAGCCCTATCCTGGAACTTGCCTTCCAGTGTTCTACGCTTGGTTAATTTTGAAATGGTAGACCTAGCAGGGCAGTGGTTAAGCACTTGGCTGCTAACTGAAAGGTCGGCAGTTGCAACCCACCTGCCGCTCAGTGGGAGTTGGCTTCTGTAAAGACTTATAGCCCTGGAAGCCCTATGGGGCAGTTCTACTCTGTCCTAAGGACTCCGTAGGAGTTGGAATCCACTGCAGGGCAACAGGTTTGGTTTTTTTGGTAATTTTGAAAGCTTTTGAATGGGCTCATGAGCTTAGATAATTTTCATATTAATTTTATTAGCCATAAATGTGTGTATGTGAATAAAAACTAATGTGTAAAAAAAGAATTGACACGTGAATTTTGCTGTTGGCAAAGAATATTGACTATACCATGGACTACTAGGAGAATGAAGCAAGGATAGCGAGACTTCATCTCGATTACTTTGGGCACATTATCAGGAGGGACTAATCGCTGGAGAAGAACATCATGCTTGGTAAAGGATCAGCGAAAAAGAGGAAGACCCTCAACAAGATGGATTGACACAGTGGCTGCAAAAATGGGCCCAAACATACACACTATTGTAAGGATGAGGCAGAACCAGGCAACGTTTTCGAGGGCACTTAACAACAACAAATCTTTAATCACGATTTAATCACAAGTTTAACAAAATTCAGCGGAGCGCTCTCATCAGAGGTAAAATGATACTAGAATGTTCCAAACCAGAAGAGATCCCAGAGACCTTGAGTTTAAACGCTTCATGTTACTAACACACATAGAGGGGAAGAGACTTGCCCAATGTCACTCAAATGAGTAGAGCCATCCCACGTATTGTGAGTGGAACATCTTAATTACAGCGTGGTAAGTGCTGAGGTAGAGGTAAACCCCAGGTGCTGTAGGGTACTGGGCTGAGGGGAGTGCCTTACAGGGCAGGGATGACTGAAAGGCAGGAATACTTCAGGGATTGCTGAGAATGAAATTCCCTATAAGGACTTCATTTAGAGGCACTAGTTTATTTCTGTTTAATAAATGGAAACATTGCTTACTGAAAACTATCTGAATTTTAAGTTTCCTCATAAGTCAACTTTTAATTAAAGAATTTAACTGACTCAAATATCAAGCCAGCTTAACTCATTAGCCAGTATTATTAACTGCAAGAGATGGAAGTAGAGCTGAGAGACGAGAACATAAAAAAACGCGTAAGTAAGAGTAATCCATTCCCCCCTCCAAATTAGCAGCTTCCATAAAAGTGGTTCCTAAAATTTAGGAGTAAGAAGTGAAATTATAAGAAGTTAATCAAATTATTCAGCTTGCAAATATATCATTTCAACATGTCATTGCACCAAATAGAGTATTTGTGCTAATGAAGACTGACTGAGCCAGTTTGTTTCTTTGAATTGGAACTTGTTTTGAGTAACATATACGAAGATGAATGACGTTTAAGCGCAAGAATTTTAGATTTGCTTTTTTTAACCAGTATTTTTTATTGTTTTAGCCTTAACAACCTTTACTACATAGTAAGTGATATTGCAAACACTTCAATGACTATAAAGTTGATGATTTCATTGTTTTTACTTTTGAGGGAGTTACTTGACAGCCTCATGTTCCTTTTCATGAAAGACTAATTGAATGATCTTTTTTTTTTATGGTGTTTTACGATATTCAGGTGAAAGCTTCCTTATTAAAAAAAAAAGACAAAAAAGTGAATGATTTTCTTAGCATGTTTGGGGATAATGTCATTTCTTTTATGTACATTTACCTCATACTGCATAGAAGTTTTTAAATTAAAATCATTTGAGATTAGAAATTGATCAGCCTAGAACTTTGTTGAAAGAGAAGAGGATGGACTGGCCTGATCTTAATGGATGTGGTTGTTTATTGTGTGCTAAACACTTTAAAATTAGGTATTCAGTGTATTTTTAAGCAGTGATTACAGTTTTAACAGTTTCAAGCCATATTAGCAGTGTGAAAGTATTTGAACCCTTTCCTTACTCCTTGGTTAACCATTTCTGTGAAGAGAACTGAATGAAATCTACAAAAGGTCCTTTCTCATCAGAAGTGAATTAGCTTTACAATATAAATGTAAACAGTTTTGGATGGGCATCTTGGTTTTAAAAATTAAAGTGAACAATCTGGAATTCCTTACCATGGGTTCTAGGAAAGCCTGGATTTACAAAGATATTTGGGGCACTGTGCCAGGTTGCTTATTCACCTCATTTTCCTTAGTAATTGATTCTTATCTTTTAGTAAGATTGAGACAAGTTCTACCACCTAAATTCTTTTTTTTGTAATTGTACTTTAGATGAAAGTTTACAGAACAAATAGTTTTTCATTAAACAGTACACTTACTGTTTTATGACAATGGTTAACAACCCCACGGCATGTCAATACTGTCCCTTCTCAAACTTGTGTTCCCTATTCCCAGCTTTCCTGTCCCCTCCTGCCTTCTAGTCCTTGTCTCCGGACTGTTGTGCCCCATTAGTCTCATTTTGTTTTCTGGGGCTGTCTAATCTTTGGTGGAACGGTGAACCTTGGGAGTGACTTCATTACTGAGCTAAAAGGGTGTCCAGGGGCCATACTCTCAGGGTTTTTCCAGTCTCTGTCAGGCTAGTAAGTCTGGTCTTTTTTGTGAGTTAGAATTTTGTTCTACATTTTTCTCCACCTCTGTCCAGGACCCTCTGTTGTGATCCCAGTAAGAGCAGTCAGTGGTGGTAGCCGGGCACCATCTAGTTATACTGGACTCAGTCTCGTGGAGGCCATGGTAGTTGTGGTCCATTAGTCCTTTGGACTAATCTTTTCTCTGTATCATGTTTTCTTCATTCTCCCTTACTCCTGAAGGGGTGAGACCAGTGGAATATCTTAGATGGCTGCTCACAGGCTTTTAAGACTCCAGGCGCTACTCACCAAGGTAGAATGTAGAACATTGTCTATATAAAATGTGTTATGCCAGTTGAGCTAGATGTTCCCTGAGACCATGGTCCTCACAGCCCTCCTCCCAGCAATTCAGTCCCTTAGGGAGTTTGGATGTGTCTATGGAGCTTCCATGACCTTTCCTTGTACAAGTGGTGCTGGCTTCCCCAGTATTGTGTACTGCCTTACCCTTCACCAAAGTTACCACTTACCTATTGTCTATTTAGTATTTCACCCTCCCACCTCTCCCATCCCTGGTAGCCAACAAAGATAGTTTCTTTTTCTGCCACCACCTAAATTCTTATGTGCAGGAAGTGTTCTCTTCCATGTATAAACCAAAACCAAACTCATTACCATCAAGTCAATTCCAACTCAGAGCGATCCTATAGGACAGAGTACTACTGCCCTACAGAGTTTCTTAGGCTGTAATCTAAGGAAGCCAACTGCCACAGCTTTCTCCCACGGAGCAGCTGGTGGGTTCTAACCACCAGCCTTTCAGTTAGCAGCCGAGCGCTTAACCACTGTGCCACCAGGGCTGCTCTTCCATGTATAAATGAAGTAAATATATCATTGACATGTGATTCATGAAAAGACACTAGTTGTTTGGTTTCAAACAGGGCTTTGAAGCGGTTCATTCCAGTTTGACCCCCTGGGAGATCTTGTTAAAATGTCGATTCTGATTCAGTACATCTGGGGTGGAAATGCAAATTCTCAGTTGGGGGGGTCAAACCAGAACGAACCGGTTCAAACTCATCCTCCTTTGTAAGACTATCAGCAACTGGAACTATCCTGTAATGGAAAAATATCCTGTTCCCAGAAGTTACAAAAACCTGTGATAACTCAAGGTATTTGAGCAACAGATGGATAATCTTTTCCCCAGGAGGCTACAGAAGGAATTCATGCACAAGCTTTTAAACCTTTAACCTAAGATCCCTAAACTCTCACTTGGCCCTGGAGATGAGCCCAAGGTATCCAGTGCATACACCAGTAATATCTTTGAAATGATCTGTCTTAAAATGTTGCATCTATTTGCATTTCTACACCACAATACATTTGGTTGATTTTAACAGAAAAAATATACCCACCGACACACTGTTACTTGCCTCTGAATAATCCAAATCAAGAAGTGTAGGATCTAGGACTGAATAAAATCAGTAAATCCAAAATCGGGCTATATGTCAGAATCACCTGGGAGCATTTTTGTTTTTTTAATCTATTCCCAGGTTTCACCTAAGACCTATTGATACAGA